TTTCCTCTGGTTCAGCAGGCCATATAAGCCAGATACAGCTGATGGTATCACCTGGCAGGTAGCTCTCAGAATGAGAGTGTGAGTTGATCTATGCAGGAGCTGGACCTATGTGCATCTCCTTTCTGCTGCATATAAACAATCTGTCTCCAGCTTTGTCACATCATCTGCTACACAGAGCAAGTCCCCACAATGGACCTGACCAAGAACAGATGATCCAAGCAAGGGAATATACTCCGTACTCATATTCTCTGCTCTTTATTCATAATGAGACTATCTCTGTCCCAAATTTACACAGAAATAATTCAGACTTAAATGTCAATTGAAAACAAAGCTGGTGTATAATATTTTAGAACTTACTTTGAAAAAATATAAACGTCAAAAAGCGATGGGAGAGAACGTAACTATACTGGCTAGTGTTTAGGTCTTGTATCAAATTTGTATGTTTGTATTTTAAAAAAGTAAATAAACCCACCACATTTGTAAACTATCTGTATCTGAGGTACAACATATTTTGTGCAGATTAATTTAATACTTCTGCATAAATGCTTTGTTAAGATTGCATAGATGGTACCAGTATATACAACCAAGGTCTATTTTGTTTAAAAATTAATGCTATTATTTAAATAATATAATATTAAATGTTTTATTCTAGATGTCAGGGCGTGCTGGGAGACGGGGACAAGATATGATCGGAAATGTGTTCTTCTATGATATCCCACTGCCCAAAGTTGAAAGACTTATCAAATCCAACGTACCTCAGTTGAAAGGCCAGTTTCCTCTGACTGTTACCTTAATATTGAGACTCATGTTGTTGGCTGCGAAGGCTGATGACAAAGCAGATGCCAAAGCAAAGGTTTAATATTTTTTTCTTAATAGCAATCTAATTAAATTCTAATGTCTCTTTAACATGAGCAGAAAGTTATGGCCTTCAGAAGTAAGCAGTCGGCCTCCAAATGAAACTGTATAATCTGCTGTACTTCTTCTAGCACCTGTGCCATCTTCTACACAGTATTGTACTGTCCTTCTTCATGCATTTATTCTTTGCAGTAAATATTATCATCAGAAAGAATGTTACTGTCAGGAAGGTATTATTACTGACTCGTGTTTTATGCAATAATATATTAACTTGGAGAATCAGAAAGTCTTCCACTATTTAAAATTTCAGCTGTATTTGAGGAAAAGATGAGAACATATATTTCCATAGGGAAGAGGGGAGCTATAAAATGATATCTCAGTTGAAACAATGAGAAAATTCCATGCGTTACTCACTTGTTTAGATCTGCATGCTAAATCTTTAGAATCAAAGAATTCTTATTCTCGCCATTTAATGCAGTGATTTAAGTAAACAACCCATGCCCATGATTACAAATTGGTCAGAGAGTTGCTCTTGCAATTATTAAGCAAGTCTTACCTCCAGGTGACTTGTCTTTCACACCCACCTCAGCACACAGATATTTATTTTCAAGGGGCCACTGAATGGATGGAAGTCTTAAGATAACAAAGTAAATTGGTAAACTTCTGTGTTAAATATGAAAATATAAAAATGGTTTTAAAGTGTAAGGAGTAATTTAAAAAATTCCTGGTTTTAGTTCAGTGATATTTAAATTCTTGGTTTTTTAGATCTTTGCATGAATTTAATGTAATTAGTTTTACAATCCTCAGTATAAATTTAGAAAATGAGCACACATCTGAGAGAGGATGAACTTCTCAAGCATTTGCAGGATTAGGCATTCAGTTTACATAAAGATACAAGAAAACCTCCACCCAGCATTCTTCCCTTGAAAACCAATTGTTAAAACAAGGCATAAAATCTGGCTACTAAAATTCCTTGCGTGTTATAATATCAGCATTCCCTTGGATTTCTAATTTCTTCTTCTTTAATTTTTCCTTTCTGCTTGACCAGGCATTGTCAGTGTTGAAGCACTCACTGATGTCGTTCGGAAATGAAAGATATGCTGAAATATTAAAAATTTATTTTATGTTTTCCTTGCAATTTCTTATCAAGGAGGTAGGTTTTAACTCATTTTCGTAAAGGCTAGTTCTTCCTGAATCTGCAGATTCTCATTTGTTTGTGCTAGTATACTTTCATTTAAAGAACCATATATTTTTTGTTCCATAGCCATAGGCTATTTAAGGAAATAGATAAAATTAGAGTTAATTCTGAGCTACTTAAGTTATGGAATAAATTCAATAGGAAAGGTCTCATGGTATGGTCTACATGATTATAAATTGATTAGGAAAGTTAGAGTTGTGGATTTATGTTATATATAAAGATGCAAGCATGGGAAATGATGGGGGTTTAAAACATACTAAGGATGACATGATTTCCAAAATGCTGGGAGAAATTATATCTCTAACAAAAATTTAGGAGGTCTGTCTTGGAGAAGACTGTAAATGGGTTGTGTATCTCTCCATAGTAATAGTTTCAATTTGAGGGACACAGTTTTGGAAATTTTTTATGAATGACTCCGTTTTGGCGTACAGCTCAGGACTACGGGCAGGAAGAGACATCAGTAATTTGATTACATTAACAAATCATCTGTGCCCACATTTCACAGTCCTGCTCCCAGTAGGAGCCCTAACCAACTTCTCTACCTCCTCTGCTTCATGTTCCTTGTGTGTGAGGCCAGGAGCCTGATACTTCTATTGAAGAGAAAAATCTGATCAACGTACAAGAGAGATTAGTAACATTTTCAGAAGGTTACAGTTAGCATAAGAACTTGACAAAACCTGGCTGACATATCTAGTATCCTGTTTCCAATAATTTTCCCAGAAAATTGCATAGGAAGAAAAAAAAATAAATGGGGCAATTGTATAATGATGATTCTCTGGATACTCCTTACTTTTTACAGGGCGTCATGCAGAGTGACCTCTGACAAGGAGAGGTGTCCTCAAATTTATAGCCTTTAATGGAGTTTTATTCCATGAGTTGTCCTTGTTTTTTGGAAACTAGATAAGCTTCTAGCAATCAAATATCTTGCAGCAATATATTTGACAGATCACTGCTTGCTGGGCTTTTATCCCATCAAATGTTTGGGTTAATAGTTTTTTTTAATGAAAGTTGCGTCAATTCTTACTTTGGTGACTGTGTGCATTTTTCATGTGCAACATGATTCAAATCAGCACTAAAACTATGAAGTCAAGATCTATGTGTTTCATGGGGAGATGAAGATCTCCCATGGAAATACTTAAATAATTAGTGACTTGTTTTTCCGTGAGGCCAATTTTTGCGTTTCAGTGGAAATGAATGGTCTCAATAGGTATCTATGCCTTGGGTTGAAGGACTATTCTTTTGAATGCTAGCATTTTACATGTTCTTCATATCCAAGTTCATCTTTGACAACCAAGCTTCTTTTGCTTTTAAATTAAACAGGGCTACTTGGATCAAGAAGGTAACCCTGTAGGATTTGCTGGACTTGTGACACACTTGCACTATTACGAACCTTCCAATTTCGTTTTAGTGAGCTTTCTTGTGAAAGGTTTATTCCACAAATTGTGCCAGCCAGTTAAAGGTAAATAAGACTTCCAGCATTTGAATTGCAGTCTATGGCAGACTTTGCAATTCTGGTGGTTCTGAAATTTTCTGGGTGTCTTCTCGCTGCTGCCGCCTGTTGCTTGCCCAGCCTTCATCCTCATGTCCTCGGCCTCTGCGTATACACACTCTGCACATGCTGCTTCTTCTGTCTGAGAAAGCCAAGGCACGCATATGACAATAAACCTAAATTTACTGTTTGGGAAATATTCTGATGAGGTAAAGAAGAATGTTAGAAATAGAAAAATCAATAATTCTTAATCCAGAGCAAGACAGCTGCAGCGGAGCACACACAGCCTCTCTATCACTCCTCCTTCTCAGCTGGACAAAGGCGGGAAATATAACAAAGAGCCCATGGTTTGAGATAAGGACAGGGAGATCACTTGTGGTTACCATGCCAGACAAAACAGACTTGACTGAGGGAAAGTAATAAAATTGATGAACAACCAAATAAGAGTAGAGTAATGAGAAATAAAAGCAGATCTTAAAATAACAACATCTTCCTCCCATCCCTCCCAAACCTCCTGGGCTTAACATCACTCTGAATTTATCCACCATCTCCCCCTGAGCGGCACGGGGGGTCAGTGAGTAGTGGTTGGGGTCAGTTCCTCCAACGTTGTCTCCACTGCTCCTTTTTCCTCCTGCGGAGGACTCCTCACTCTTACCCTGCACCATGGTGGGATCCGTCTCACGGGAGGCATTCTTCACACACTTTCTCAAATGTGAGTCCTCTCACAAGAAGCAGTTCTTGGGAAACTGCCCCAACATGAGTGTCTTTCTGTGAGGTGCAGTCCTTCAGGGGAAACTGCTCCAGCACAGCTCCTCTGCAGCATCACAGAGTCCTGCCAGCCAACCTGCTTGGGCATGGGCTTCTTCTCCCCATGGGCTACAGGTTCTGGCAGCGACCTGCTCCAGCGCGGGCTTCCCATGGGGTCACAGCCCCCTTCAGGCATCTACCCGCTTCGGCGTGGGGTCCTCCACGGGCCGCCTACACCCCGTCACCTCCATGGGCTGCAGGGTACAGCCTGCCTCACCATGGGCTTACCCATGGGTCAGGG